TATCTGGAGGTAGGTCTAATAAAGAATCTTTCATTTTCAAAGAGAAATGACTTAATTAGATAATCCATTCCCAACTACAGAATTGATATTAATCTGGTTTGCTGTATTTGAGTGTAAACAGCTCAGTGTGGGTTGTGTCAGAGGAATTCTTTACAAAAGAATATTGATTACACAATCGATTACACAATTTACCAAAGAAAATTTATCTGCCAAATATAATTTTTAAAGTACTGAACTGTTAAGGAGTGAAGCCCCTTTAACCTAAAGGATTGCTTTTTAACCTTGGGGGAATATTAAAAGATTGTTTGACCTAGAAAATAGGTTTACAGTAGCTAAAAGATTCCATTTGAAGTTTTCTTATGTCAGTAAAATGTAAATATTTTATAATTTCAAAAGTACCAGTTAAAGGTTAAGTCCAAATATTATTTCTTATGGCACATTTTCATGTCTCCTTAACTCAAATTAAGGATTCTGCTCATCAGTATTGAATAAAAGAGGGAAGTTCCTAAAATTGGTATACTGTGTAATTTTGTGAGTTTTTTAAGTAAAATTGAGGGGGAAATTGTGGAAATGCACCTTTTTCCATGGGCAATGGGAATTATTTCTAATAAGTATGCTATTGGTTAAACTGGTACAGTTTGTTTACATGATTTATGTACATGATCACTCTGTGTCTTTTTCTTTGCAGAAAAACGTGATTAGGTTAAGAAAAGCTTAAAATGCTCATTTTTAAAATGTATGGACCGATAAGAATTAAAGCTTTTAAACTGTTAAAAAGTGATTTTTTTGGAAATCATGAAATATAATTAACTAATGTTCCAAATAGGTTCTATGTATTATTTTTTCATATTAGGTGGTAGTTAAAAAGTAATGAATATATTAACTATTATGGAAAGAGAAGATTGGCTTTCTAACAACCACTGATACTGGTTTGGGGTGGTTTTTTGTTTTTTTTTTGTTTTTAAGTTTTATCATCCAAACTGAATTGAGATGTGCTCCATGCTCCATGTGGTGTTTTAAAATATTTGTAATAAGTTCATCTACTTTACATTGAATCTTTTTTATTCTTATTCTAAAAATCACGCTGGCTTTACCTTCAGTTTAACCTTCAGTTAAGTGAAACAGGAAGGTGCAAAGATTATTTTCTCACTATTTTTCTCATGATAATTTGGCTTTCCTGAGGTACAGTTTCTGAAGGATTTTTACTACTTTGGCATTATGTAATCTGGTGTGTCACAGTGGACAAGCAAACAGGAGATACCCCACTTTCATATGTTTGCCTCATAAAAGGATATGGAATGTACAGATCGGGTTTTTTGCCAGCATCGACCTATAGCTTGGTATAAACTTCCCAAGTGTTCCGAGAATAGTGCTGGTGAAAATTTAAATAGGATAGGCACATAGAAATTATGACCTCTATTGAGTGATGTCCTTTCAACTTAGGACTAGTAAAAACCTTCATTTTTTCAGAACTGAAGAAAAAAACCACACATTCAAGATCATACTTATTGGTGCATGTAAGCCATTAATCCTGTCTTACTAAATTGATTAATGCT